CATCACCATAATCGAGCTTGGGTGAATACATCTCATAGATTAAGAAGCCTTAAGATTGAGCTTTTGCTAAGATTTGCTTGCCCAATAATTCTTGGATGATCATCTAGACTGACTGTCATTGCTTCAACAGCCTTCTGAACTGGGATTTTAGTATACATTCATACAGCATCAAAACTAACCAAAAGATCCTTCTCTTTAATACTCCGTTGATCTGTTAATCTAGCAAATTCATATGAATTCTTCACTGATTATTTCCAATACTCAACCAATTTGCTTAGTTGTCTACATAAGAAATGTGAAATCCTATGCATCACAGTACCATTGTTATTAACAATCAATCTTAAAGGAACTCCTTCCTTGCGTAATTTTGGAAGACTGTAAGCCAAAGGTGTCGTTGCATCCGTCTGAAGAAGTGAATTCATTTTCCACTTCTCAATTTCTCCTCTGCTTACACAAAAGTTAAGCGATTCCCAAAGTCTGGACTTAAGACTCTCTGTGGAATCCTTGACTAAAAGTCTGTAAGTTTCTGACATAAGAGAAGCCGATCCTTTTTCTTTGACCAATTGTCAGCAAGACAAATGTGGTATCTCTTCATGAGCCCTGGGTCATTTGCCAGTCTTATATCCTCGTATCACCCCATCAATATCATACTTTTTTAATTGCTTATTTAAATGTGTGTCTTTTTGACGAGTTATAGTGCGCTGCTAACACGTGGGAATGTACCACTGCCACAGTCCCACTTTGGAAATGATGATGCAGACAATGGACTCCGGACTAGGTTCGCTGCTCCGGATTTTTCTGTCAACAACTCGTCGAAAAGACACACATTTAAAAAAGCAATTAAAAAAGTATGATATTGGTGGGGTGATACGAGGATATGGAGAGATACCACATTTGTCATGCCGACAATTGGTCGAAGGAAAAGGATCGGCTTCCTTGTCTCTTTGACGAGTGGTAGCTGGAAGTGGTGCTAAGATTGGCATGACTCACTGACGATGCCGGTGAAACGTCTGGGAATGTACCAAATGATAATGCATACAATGCACTCCGGACTAGGTGCGCTCCTCCGGGTCTTCTTGTCAATATGAACAAGTTGCTAAAACAACGTTAAACAACTTCTAACCAAAATCTATTTTACTGACGTTAGTTTGGCTGTTTCCAGCGTATACTTTAACGAAGAAAAACTGCCCGGTTAGCCCAGTTGAATCTTTTTTTCAGGTCGGGAGAGATAGAACAAATGTTTGACTCACATGTTGAGCTTAATTCCACTTCGAGTGAAAGTGTTGGCTGAAGAGATTCGAAGGTCGGTTCCACCGGAAGACGACGGCGGATTCTTCTTGATTGGCTTTACTGGACCATTCTCGGTGACGCTGTTTCCAAGGCGATCTCCTTCGATTCCGGTGAAAACGTGCTAAGCTTTCGTCCTTCACATGAAGAACATCATCAGAGCAAGGAGGGTATCATCGTCACAACCAAATTAAGGCTAACGAGTCAATAAAACTCACCGACAAATCCGTAAAAAAGTGGTATACATACTCTACATCTTACCTCTTTGATGAAGTATAAAGTGATTTGGTTAGTTACAATCACATGTCAACTTCGATGACTGTGAGTGTGTCTGTATCTGTATGTGCATGTGTCTGTTTGTGTTCGCTTATGCGCGAAACACACAGTCATGGCTCAGAGTAATTCGGACACGAAGAGAAACTTGGTTTCGATGAATCTCCTGGCATTACATTCGCCCAAAATGTTAGAGTAAGCTCTTCAAACAAAACAGAAATTTCAGAATACGCAACCCCAGTCTTGTCTTTCTTTGGAGGGTTAAACGTTAATGATTTTCATGCTTACAAGCTCATATTTCATTATCTCAATCGTACTCATTTACGGACCTAGGCAGTCTCGGTCAAAGATTTTCTCTTTGGTCATTCAGTCTTGAGGATTACAACATGAGATTTAACCTTTGACAACTCTGATTTAGGAACCGTATTGTCCCTTTGGTGAGTTGTTTCGTGGTGCTGAGTATGGCAAGACTCAGTGACGATGCCGATGAAATGTCTGCAAATGTACCAAATTCACGGTCCGACTGCGGAAATTATGATGCATACAATGCACTCGGGAGTAGTATGACCAAGTTGCGAAAACAAGATCAAACAACTTCCAACCAAAATCTACTTTACTGACGTCAGTTTGGCTGTTTTCAGCGTATACTTTAACGAAGTTAAACTGCCTGGTTAGCTTAGTTGAATCTTTTTTTCAGGTCGGAAGTGACACAAGAATGCATGTCCATCGAATGGCATGACAGACAAAAGTTGAGGCTCCGAAGGAGGCTGGTTCGAGGACTGCGTCAACCCGAATGACCGAGTGAAACCAATCGGGAACTCCGTCGTCTTCGTCGTCCTGTGAGATTGTTTCACACGAACCTCTTGATGTGGTACGCTTTCACTCGATTGGCATGTCTACCGAATATTTCCCGGTTCGAGGCCCGCTAAGAGCGACGATGCGATGCAGTTGGACGAGGTAAGACCCGGTCTAGCGTCCTGTCTGTGGTTAAGGAAGATGTTTGTGGCAGCGTCGGCAACCGATTGTTGTCAATTGACGACAAGAGAGTAGCTCATCTGCCGGCAGCTGGCTCTTGACAACCTCGAAACACAAACTGTGTTGCCCGAAATTGTCACCAAACCAAAAGTGGACTGGCCAATTCTCTTTTTCACGCTACTTTCTAGTTCATGTGCAGATGCTCATATTCCTTGTTATGCCTATTTATCATTCGAGCAAATATTCTTTATTGCAATATTCGTCTGAAAGTAGGTTTTGCAACTATCAGTAGATCATATGCATACATACACATGTACATACATACATATGAGTTAATACATGTATATATCATACATATGAGGTGTGTTCACCCTTTTCGCTAATGTGATGAAGGACTAGTGGCTGAAGCTTTGCAGAATCCGATGAGTAGGCTCTAGCTTTCCAAAAATGTATCCTCATCCCGGCTAGAATGGATCGCAGTTTCAATCTCGCCTTAACTCGTCTCATCATACCCCCACCAGCGGGACTCGAACCCACACTGCTGCGAGTGCTCTTGGGTCACAGGGCAGATGTGAACTTAAAAAAGGGCCAGCCGTTTTATCACATTACATTTTCTTGTGGGATTCTCAATTGTTCTCATTCTAAGCAAAATTGGGTGAATAAATCTCGTATGTATGCGACTATCTGACTGTGTACGTGTGTGCGTGTGAAAAACCGTGGATTTACACTGTGATAAACCATAAAGTGAAGCTTAGACCTTTAAATATATAAATATATATATACATATATCTGAAAAAAAGGACTATAAGTATTTTATTATCTAATATTACTCAGGGTAGTTATAGTTTTTACATATCAAAAAGAGTACTGAAAATATTTTACTGCATTTATCCATATATTTATTTACTTTTTTGATTTTATATAAATAAATATATTAATACAGTTATCAGTTATTTTGCCTATACATAGTTCTATATTCATACACACTGTCAAAACATAAAAACACTTACATTTACATGTGAATGTGTGTGTGAGGAGGGTATGCGCTAATGCAAAACGCTAGTCATAAAGATGAGTAACTATGGCTGGGCGTGACATTGAGGCTGGATTACCGAATTCTGATGGCTTTGATCGCAAGAAACGTGTCAAAGGAATGTATTTCTGATGGGATACATCAAGGATTTAGTTTTCGCGATCCACTTGACGAAAGCACTCTTTCATTTTCTGGCCGGCTCGAAGGCAGTCATTCCTCCTCGTGGCCGGGAACGCAGACGAAATCGGCCAGCCCGTCTGACGGTCCGACCGACGTGGAACCTGCCCCACGGACTTCAGCAAAGTGGGAGCCTCGAGGAGGGGCCATCCGTGATTGGACAGGTCGACGACCAGTCCCCTGATTGGCTGGCGCTCGTCGATGGTACCGGTCTTCCCTCGACAGACACACACACGTCCGGGCCGTCCGAGCTGGTCGAGTATTCGTCCGAGGCGGAGTGCAACCGGTCATCTCAAGTGGGCCTGGCCGGTCCGGTCCGGTCCGGTCTGATCTGTTTATCGGTCGTTGGCGATCTCGTCGGCCGACAGAAGATGGCGGCCTCAGCCTCAGTCCGCATCCCACATTGACCTCCTCCCGCCCCAGAAAGATGTTATCCAAAAGTGCAAAGTTTATGCCTCGTCTGTTTTTATAAAATGCCTTTTTATACAGTTCAAGATATTCCTTTTGCAGACCAAATCGATGGTAGTCAGGCTAGAGAAGGGCGGCTGAGTGGGTGCTACTGCAATTTCACGGGCAGGTACCGTTGAAACGCGCATTTCCCACAAGCTACAACCAGTCAGGCCTGTTGGTCCTTTGACTGATGTCTATACCGGGCTTTGGGCACTCGCAACCTCGACCGCTTCGACAGACGCCGATCAACTCTTTCG